GATTATATATAAACGTTAAGGAATCACTAACGACTGGTGCAGCACATCGAAGGATTCGATTACTGATTCCATCCAAGCCAGAGGAGTTTGTTTGCTTGAAGTTGATGAGATAATCATACACTTCAGCAACAGACATAAGGGGAATCTCAGAAGGGATATTCGTATTGCATTTTTTTCTCACATAATGATGCTAGTAAGCTTAAGTCACACTGTGAGTCTGATATTGTGGACTTTAAATTCTCTTTTTCTGATTTAAAGACACAATTAAAATCATCACACGTTAGATCATTTGGTTTTGATTGATCTGAAGAATGCTTATTGGTTAGGATGTTGATAGCCCTCCAAATGTCTGCATTGTTTGTTTTATCTGTAATCATTTTTTAAAAATGATTTTTCTTATTTTTACGAATTAAATATTTTACCTTATTTCTCAGTTTACATAAAAGATCATGGTTTTTATTCTTGTGTGCTGTATCTCTTTCTCTCATAATTTCCAGAACCTCGCTAGTAATCCATAGTGATTTCGTTTGAAGTTTTACTCTAAGTTCTTGAATAGGCACATGTTTATCAAATACACTATATACTGTTTTCGTCCAGTAGTCTATAGCATCGTCCGGTTCAGGAAGCTGATAAACATGGTCTAGCTGTGCATTTCGCAAATCTAGTAAAAAAGAGTCAGGATTAAAAGTTTTGAAATTTCTAAATTTAACTGCGATATGTTTATCTTTAGGTGTTTTAAAACCAATTTTCGCCCATACACAGCATACAGGATAATGATCGCTAATAGCCGTAGCGGGGACAGAACATTCAATAATATTTTTTGGGTGAGAGACATAAATATGATCAATTAGTGGTGAGGATGTTTCTGTAACTCTAGTGGGAAAGTTAATTAACTGTTTGAGGTTATATGAAAGAATGATATCTTCCCATGTCTGGTTGGGTTTATTTATGTCAATGTTAAAATCGCCAAGAAGAATAATTTCTTTCCCTACACTAAAAACTGTGTCCATCATAGAAGTAAAGTCGTCATACCAGTTGTTGTCTTCACTTGGATTTCGATAAAGATAGCCAATGAGAAGTGACTGCTGGTTTAACGGCTTAACCTCCAGCCAGATACAATCGATATTTTCATATTCTAAATTAAATCTACGCGAATATTTGAGATAATTCGAAATATAAACTGCTATGCCAGTCTCTAATCTTCTTATTGCATCTTTGCGAATTACTGTAAAACCACCAATGGTGATTTCGTTGTCACTAATTTTGTCGTTCAAGCGACTTTCTGTAATTCCAAAAACGTGGAATTGTTTACTGAGCCTAATTGATAGCTCGGGTAGTTTGCCGAGTAAATGAAAAATGTTTAGATGACCTATTCGGATGCCATCTTTTTGATGCCACTTATTTCGACTATCTAGCATGATGGTTTTGAAACGGAGGATATTGTTATGGTGGTTTTAAAACTATAACCACTAGTAAGTAGTATTATTAGGCAGGTTATGGTAGCGTCTCTGCTGGAGCGACATCATATAGGCATGATGTAGAGCTGCAGTGTTGAACTGCATAAGATGCTGAACTTCATAATTCCAGTTGTAGGCTGGGTGTACACTAGTGTACAATGAAGGGGGGCTACTCTGAGCAACACTGGTAAGTCCTACACTAGAAACATATGCTTGAGGCATGCCTTGCATGTGTAAGGGCGTTTCCTTAGATTTGACTGGAGATAATTGCTTCACAGGCAGTGAATGAAACATAACATCGTAATTTTGAGCCTGAGGAATGAACATGGGCTGCGATGCAGAGGAATGTGAGCTTGAGATGAAGCCAAGTTTGACATTGAGATAGGGACGGTGCGCTGCCTTCTATGCATGTTGGCCACAGGTGAGATTTTAGGTACTTCAGTGCCGGGCGCTGATTGTTGTGTACGTTGTGGATACTTGATATTTTTAGCCAAAATACTACTGCCTAATCTGGAACTGTGAATTTGGTCCCGGTACAACTTTTTCTTAGGAGCGCCAGACGATGAGGTAAAGTAAGGCGTATGGTTATTAAATGTGATGTTTTGTTCCAGACAAAATTTCTGTAATGTTGAGTTACCTGCATCTGCCAAACGTCTTTGAGATCCATAAGATGGTGGTAAAGTGGAAGATAAAAACACAGATGATTTTGGAAATTTGTTACTCATCGAGTCTAACAATGTGGACAAATGAGACGTGCTAACTGGTTGATTGTTCATAACGTCATTGATGCCGACATGGACAGTGATTCTTTTAACGTTATGGTTTGGATTATATCGTCGCAATGTCGCAGACACCCTATTGATATCTGCACCAGGTAGAGGATGAACTAGCACTGTCTCGTTATCTGTTGACATCCGGTCACTGTAGATTCCCTTCATCAGAGAATCACCAATAATTAGATGTGACACACTGCAGTCAATGTTTAATTCATGTTGTTGTCGGGTCTGTCTGGAGCGCTGGTGCTGCCACTGGCGACTGTCATCTCGAGGCTGGTCTGTATCTTTTTGTGACATCTGAGACGACTGATGTTCCACAGAGGGAGTTTGTGGTTCATTTTCTAAACTAAGAGCCTCAAATCTGTTGCTTATTTTGACCCCAATTGGATAAATAGTCCTCTCAACAGGCTTAGCAGTGTTTTCGTTATTCACAGTCGCCTTTGTGGCGTCTTCAGTGTCAAATTGAACATTTTCTTCATTTGAGGTGGCACTTTTCGTTAACTCGTCTATTTGAGTTTTCAAAGAAGTATTTTGTTCCACCAAAAACTTTACTTCATTTTAAAGGAATAATTTGTCCTTCTCCAATTGGGAAACAAGCTCTGATGAGATAAAGATTTTCAACCTGTCCTCTAAAGCTCGGATTAATTCCTCACATGTAGTAGGCCTGTGTGAACACAAACAATTGACACTGTCTTTTGAAAAATCGGGTGTATCCACCCCTTTTCTTTCGCTTAATGGCTGGTTACACAGCTTGTCAGTGAGACATGGCGTGGTAGGTGTTGAACTAGCAGCACGGCAATCGACAACGTGAGGGGGAGTGCTGGCTACTTTGTTTGCCGTTTTATCTTTGTTCCCTTGTTGCCCTCGTTTGGCAAGTGTAGATGGTCGTAGACTGGTCGACATTGTTAGAACTGAGCACAGCGTTCCGCTTCACTAGCCACGGACCCACCAACTGCCCGGTTTGGCTGTCTTTTGTCTAATTAATCGGCATGCTAGTTACACGCGTGGGTGAACAGCTTCAGTCGAAAACTGGTACAGTTAATAGTGAATGTTGTTACCTTGTAATTCCATGAAAGAAATCACAATTAAAATATCACAGTGGTACATGTTCAAATATTATTGAATCCATGGCATATCCAAGCGAAATGTGAATAAAGTGAAATATAAAACATCATGATTAGGCTATTACATCCTTGGAAAACAACTGAAAATGTAGGAGCTGCTAAAACACGTCTACACGTGGCCAGCGCAGAGAGACAGAGATAGATAGATAGATAGATATAGATAGATAGATAGATAGATAGATAGATAGATAGATAGATAGATAGATAGATAGATAGATAGATAGATAGATAGATAGATAGATAGATAGATAGATAGATAGATAGATAGATAGATAGATAGATAGATAGATAGATAGATAGATAGATAGATAGATAGATAGATAGATAGATAGATAGATACTGTGCACATACTATGTATATATGTATGTGTGTATGTATGTGCGTGTGTATTTATGTATGTATGTGTGTGTGTATGTGTGTGTTTATGTGTGTATGTATGTATGTATGTATGTATGTGTGTATGTGTGTGTATGTATGTATGTGTGTATGTGTGTGTGTGTATGTATGTATGTATGTATGTATGTATGTATGTATGTGTATGTATGTATGAATGTATGTATGTGTGTATGTATGTATGTGTGTATGTATGTATGTATGTATGTGTGGCTGTGTGTGTTTGTATGTGAATGTGTGTGTGTATATTTGTGTATATGTGTGTGTGTTATGTATGTGTGTGTAAGTGTGTATATCTGTTTGTGTATATGTGTGTGTGCGCGTATGTGTACGTGTGTATTTTTGAGAGTGTATTGTTCTACATGTATGATGTGTGTCAGCATTATTTCACTGTGTAAATTTTTGTATAAACATAACATGCATTACTGATAACATGCAATTGTTGTCTGAAAGACGAGTGCTTGGAAAGGCCGAAAGATGAGTGCTTGAAAGGCCGAAAGATAAGTGCTTGAAAAGGCCGAAAGTCATACGGGCCTGCGTTCCAGTTTGTAAAGTTCTGAGAACAAAGTTCGTTCGTTCGTTGTTCGACTATTTGAAAACACAATTTTTTATGTCATCACTATATTTCTCCATTTTTTTTCGCTGTCGCCACTTAGTTTCTTCTTGTTTTGTATGTATGTATGTACATACAAAGTTCGTTCGTTCGTTCGTTGTTACACTATTTTGAAACACAAAGTTTTATGTCATCTCTCTCTCTGTTTCTCCATTTTTTCGGTGTCACCACTTAGTTTCTTCCTGTTTTGTTGTGTTGTGAGACATAAACTTTTGTGCCAGGACTTAGTTTCTACCTTATAAATAGTGGATACAACAATGACGATAACAAATTATACTAAATGCAAGCAAAACAAAAACACACTTTTGAAAACTGGGTTAGCTTTATTAGAGAGTGCTTTTGTAATCTTTGGTTGTAATACATCTTTACAATACAAGGAGGAGAAATGGAAAAGTTTGCGTGAAGATTTCCTGAGAGACTGAAAGTAAAATGATTTCCTGCGGGAAAGAAAATTAAACCGAATATCACTTTGACCTAATTGATTGTGTCCGTGTTTCTAAATATGCAATGCAAGTTGCAACGAGTCCGCGAGAGCGTCTGAAGCTGTTACAGGGTCAAGTGGTGTCAAAAAGAAAATATAGTTTATGGTCGTAACACATCTTATGGCTGCGTGTTGCAACCATCTCTGTTGCTACAGTTATGCGCCGGTGGTGGAGTTTGAAGGAGCGACGGTCGTCTGCTGGAAGGATTCGGCTGGTAGGGGTTTGGAGTAGCCGATGATGCAACAGGCCAGACGGCCCCCAGCGTTACCTGTGGTCTTGCTAGCTGGAACACCTCCTTCACCAAGATCATCCAAGAGTTCGTGGACCTGCAAGGAGTGGTAGTAGTAAAGAGTAGTGGTGGTGGTTGTAGTAGTGATGGTGGTAGTAGTAGTAGTAGCGTTTGAAGTGGTGGTGGTTGTAGTGATAGCTGTGTTGGTGGTGATGGTGGTGGTGGTAATAGTGATGATGGTAGTCCTAGTAGTGTTCGTGGTGGTAGTAGTGATGGTTGTGGTAGTGGTGGTAGTGATGCTGTTGTTGTTGTGATGGGGAGGGAGTAGTAGTAGTAGTGATGGTGGTAGTGATTGTAGTGGTAGGCAGTGACAGTGGTAGTAATGACGGTAATGGTAGTATTGTTGGTGGTAGGATAGTGGTGGCTGTGGTAGTAGTGATAGTAGTGATGATTGTGGTAGTGGTGGTGGTGGTGATAGTGTTGTTGTGGTGATGGGGGAGGGAGTAGTGGTAGTAGTGATGGTGGTAGTGATTGTAGTGATAGGCAGTAACAGTGGTAGTAATGACGGTAATGGTAATATGTTGGTGGTAGGATAGTGGTGGCTGTGGTAGTAGTAATAGTGATGTTGATGCTAGTAGTAATGGTAGTGGCGGTAGCGGCGAGAAAGGTGGTGGTGGTCGTCGTGATAGTGGTGGTTGTGATACCAGTGACGGTGGTGGTTGTTTTGTCGCAGTAGGTGTCATAGGACAATCGGCAGTGGAGGTAGTAGCCATAAATATTAGGAGCAGCTGTAATAGTAGTAGTAATCTAGTAGTGTCAGTAGGAGCAGCTGTAATAGTAGTAGTAATATAGTAGTAGCAGTAGGAGCAGCTGTAATAGTAGTAGTAATATAGTAGTATCATTAGGAGCAGCTGTAATAGTAGTAGTAATATAGTAGTATCATTAGGAGCAGCTGTAATAGTAGTAGTAATATAGTAGTGTCATTAGGAGCAGCTGTAATAGTAGTAGTAATATAGTAGTATCATTAGGAGCAGCTGTAATAGTAGTAGTAATATAGTAGTATCATTAGGAGCAGCTGTAATAGTAGTAATATAATAGTAGTGTATTAATATTAGTGGTGTTAGCTGCAGTAGTAGCAGTAGTCGTTTCAATAAAAATGTTTACTATTTCCACTGTAACTATAGTAGTAGTTAAAAAAAAAAAAATACTGAATTTTCATTTTAATAAACACACCAGCATAATTTATGCTTGGTTAAATCTACCAAAATGCTAGGTTACAGTCGAATAGACTAGATCAAGGATAGATCATTCAAGAATAGATCAAGGCAGATAATTCTCTGTGTGGGCTTTTGACCTGGTTTTGGAGCCCGAAAATGGAGATCCACTAACTTTGATTTAACTGTTTTTTCTGTCTAGGTTGGCATTATGTAGGACCAACATCTCAGGGTAAGAATCTCCCAGCTACAACTCCCACAACTGACATGTAGGACCAACATCTCACGTTAAGAATCTCCCAGCTACAACCCCCACAACTGACATTATGTAGGACCAACATCTCAGGGTGAGAATCTCCCAGCTACAACCCCCACAACTGACATGTAGGACCAACATCTCAGGGTAAGAATCTCCCAGCTACAACCCCCACAACTGGCATTATGTAGGACCAACATCTCAAGGTAAGAATCTCCCAGCTACAACCCCCACAACTGGCATTATGTAGGACCAACATCTCAAGGTAAGAATCTCCCAGCTACAACCCCCACAACTGGCATTATGTAGGACCAACATCTCAAGGTAAGAATCTCCCAGCTACAACCTCCACAACTGACATTATGTAGGACCAACATCTCAGGGTGAGAATCTCCCAGCTACAACCCCCACAACTGGCATTATGTAGGACCAACATCTCAGGGTGAGAATCTCCCAGCTACAACTCCCACAACTGACATGTAGGACCAACATCTCAGGGTAAGAATCTCCCAGCTACAACCCCCACAATTGATATGTAGGACCAACATCCCACGGTAAGAATCTCCCAGCTACAACCCCCACAACTGACATGTAGTACCAATATCTCAGGGTAAGAATCTCCCAGTTACAACCCCCACAACTGAAATGTAGGACCAACAACTCAGGGTTAGAATCTCCCAGCTACAACCCCCACAACTGGCATTATGTAGGACCAACATCTCAGGGTGAGAATCTCCCAGCTACAACCCCCACAACTGACATGTAGGACCAACATCTCAGGGTAAAAATCTCCCAGCTACAACCCCCACAACTGGCATTATGTAGGACCAACATCTCAAGGTAAGAATCTCCCAGCTACAACCCCCACAACTGGCATTATGTAGGACCAACATCTCAAGGTAAGAATCTCCCAGCTACAACCCCCACAACTGGCATTATGTAGGACCAACATCTCAAGGTAAGAATCTCCCAGCTACAACCCCCACAACTGACATTATGTAGGACCAACATCTCAGGGTGAGAATCTCCCAGCTACAACCCCCACAACTGGCATTATGTAGGACCAACATCTCAGGGTGAGAATCTCCCAGCTACAACTCCCACAACTGACATGTAGGACCAACATCTCAGGGTAAGAATCTCCCAGCTACAACCCCCACAACTGATATGTAGGACCAATATCTCAGGGTAAGAATCTCCCAGCTACAACGCCCACAACTGAAATGTAGGACCAACATCTCAGGGTTAGAATCTCCCAGCTACAACCCCCACAACTGGCATTATGTAGGACCAACATCTCAGGGTGAGAATCTCCCAGCTACAACCCCCACAACTGACATGTAGGACCAACATCTCAGGGTAAGAATCTCCCAGCTACAACCCCCACAACTGACATGTAGGACCAACATCTCACGGTAAGAATCTCCTAGCTACAACCCCCACAACTGACATGTAGGACCAATATCTCAGGGTAAGAATCTCCCAGCTACAACCCCCACAACTGGCATTATGTAGGACCAACATCTCACGGTAAGAATCTCCCAGCTACAACCCCCACAACTGACATGTAGGACCAAAATCTTAAGGTAAGAATCTCCCAGCTACAACTCCCACAACTGGCATTATGTAGGACCGACATCTCAGGGTGAGAATCTCCCAGCTACAAATCCCCACAACTGACATGTAGGACCAACATCTCACGGTAAGAATCTCCCAGCTACAACCCCCACAACTGACATGTAGGACCAACATCTCAGGGTTAGAATCTCCCAGCTACAACCCCCACAACTGACATGTAGGACCAATATCTCAAGGTAAGAATCTCCCAGCTAAAACCCCCACAACTGGCATTATGTAGGACCGACATCTCAGGGTGAGAATCTCCCAGCTACAACCCCCACAACTGACATGTAGGACCAACATCTCACGGTAAGAATCTCCCAGCTACAACCCCCACAACTGACATGTAGGACCAATATCTCAAGGTAAGAATCTCCCAGCTACAACCCCCACAACTGGCATTATGTAGGACCAACATCTCAGGGTGAGAATCTCCCAGCTACAACCCCCACAACTGACATAATGAAGGACCAACATCTCAGGGTGAGTATCTTCCAGCTACAAACCCCTTCCACTGTATAGTACAGTTATATTATGGTGATACTCGCTGACCTTAAGGAGCATTCCCTTTAAAGTGACTAATTAAAGTTTTTTTCTCATCGGGTGTGTTGGGCGGAATTTAAAAAGATATCGCAGCTTATCTGTAAACGACTTCACAATACACCGTCTCTATTTTAAGGGTGACTGCAAAAGAAACAGGATAATCTAGGTTGATGTTTCTGTTTCTGTATGGGTGTTAAGTATTTTCATGTCTACACACTGTCTGTTGTTACAGCTAGGATCCTGCAATTCCCAGTACAGGTTTCTGACAGAGAAACAAACTTTTGTACCTGACTGCCACTTTGACAGAAAGACAAGACTTTCCGATCAGATTGCGCCTCTTATTGAAAACAGACAATCTTGGCTAATCAAGACATCTTTATTCAGTGGCCAGGCATGATCAAATCGCATGCATAAGCCTTAGTAGGTAACGGTTACACTGGAGAGTATATCATGTGAAGTTTTGCTTCTCGTCCATTCGCTGTCTAGATTATGCGTGCGCAGCTAGCATTGCAAGCACTGATAACTGGTAGCTTTCACACGTTACAGAGAGTTTTTGCATCAAAGGCGTAAGCACGCAGCGAGCGTTAGTTTCGCTTCGTTGGTCATGTAAACAGAGTTGCCAATTTGTGATTTTTTTTCCCTCTTTCTTTTTTTTTTCTTCAAATATCCAAAAACCGGGAGTTGTTAACCCTTTGGCTCGGTACTATGGATATCGCTGCCCTTCGGCCTTGATTCCATGATAGGTACCGTAAATCTGGGAGAAATGTGGCTTTTCTGCCTCCCCCTGGGAGTGAACCCGGACCACAAGGAGTTCGGTCACCGCGAAATCAGGTTTAACCAACTACGCGAGAGAGCCAGGCCGAGTTTGTGATAAACAGTGAACAGTAATAGTTACAAAAGTAACATAATTTCTATCTTTTGGCAGGAGCAGCGGACACAGCTACTCACCACAATACCACGTCCCAGGATCGAGTGCGGGCCTAGCAAGCTGGCATCTTTGACAGAAAAGGAAGTGACTGCTTCGCCTTGATCGTTGACCTCAATGTTACCCCAATCGCCAACATGCCTGAGGAGCGGTATCAAACATAGTAATAGCATTATATTACTGATTTGCTCAAGAGAAAACATCACACAGCCAACAAGAGCGAGACAATAGTTACAAAGAATGTCAAAAAAGCGTCCCATAACAAACCCGACAATTGATATCTTATGAAAGATTACAGTAGAACCTGGCTTAACGAGCAGATCTCATAACGAGTAATTCGCATAACGAGCAAAACAAATTGTAAAAGAATGACTCGCTTAACGAGCGACGTTTCTCATAACGAGTGATGAGGAGAGAGGAAGTCCCGGATTTTGTGCATGTTACATCAGTCTGTGTTTAGCACTCGTTCCAGTAGCATTGTCGCTTGTGATAACACATTTTCTCAAACTTGTGTTATTTTGTGATATATGTACATGAATCATCCAGGCCTACAAGATGACTTCACTGATGAATTTAAGTTTATCAAGATCTAGTTTCTCCCAAGACCACTCCGTTACTCCAGCCAATGGACCAGCAAGTTATTTTTAACTTTAAGAAGCTCTACACCAAAAAAAAAATCACTTCCACATCGTTGCCTGCCTCATGATGATCGACAAGGCGGGGGAAGGGGTTACCAAGAGAACCCTAACTTCTTCTTGGAAGAAGCTTTGGCCGGAGAGTGTTGTCGATTTGTGACTTTGAGGGGTTCGAGTCAGTACTTGTGGAACCTGTAGTCAACGAAATTGTGTCTTTGGCCACTATCATGGTATTGGAGGTGGATAACAGTGATATCGAAGAGCTTGTGGAAGAGCACAGCCAAGAGCTGACCATCGAAGAGCTTATGGAGTTGCATTGTGTTTGACAGCAAGAAGTTTTGGAGGAAAGTTTGTCAGAGGAAGAGGAAGAGGAAGAGGAGGAGAAGGTAACAGAAAAGCAACAATCTTCTAGCGAAATAAGAAAAATGCTGAAAGCATGGGAAACTGTTGCTTCTCACATTGAGAAGCATCACCCTAATAAGGAAGTGGCTATGCGCGCTGCAAATTTAATGATAATGCTGTGTGGCATTTTCGCCAAAGTTTGAAGCGTCGACAAAAACAAATGTCTCTGGACATCTTTCTAGTAAAAAAAAATAATTAGGTGTGTATCATAATTATTTCGATTTTTTTTCTGCAAATCGAATTCGCATTCCATGTGAGTTCGTTTCGCGTTTGAAGAAAAGATGAAGATGATTCACTCTCCTTAAATATGTACATAATTATCTTTGAATAAATGTTATAGTATGACTTATACATAGCATTTTGTGAGTATTTTTTTCGACATGGAACGCATTATCGTATTTTACATTAATTTATATGAGAAAAATTGCTTCGCATAACGAGTGTTTCGCTTAACTAATATGATTCTGGAACGAATTATGCTCGTTAAGCGAGGTTCCACTGTAGTTGCGTATCCTTTACAGAACGTTGCAGAACCAACCCCAACAGCCCTGGCTGCTGTGTGGCTTTTCTAGGCAAATTTGCGTCCAGTAGTTTGCCATTGCTCGCTGTACGGTCGGCTTTCTTGATACCTCTTATCATGAAACTGACAACAATATCAGTTGTCAATTAAAATGTAGCAGGTCCTTTGCAGAACGTCGCTCTTATCACGGTCTGTCTGAAATAAACTCGGTCTCTCGCCAACTCTCCTGCCTCGTGTATTTTCTTAATCAAGGAGTCTCTTATAGCCTGTGCCCATCTCCGTGTTGGTCGGCCCCTGTCCTTCCTTCCTGGTACCATGTTTTCCGCAATTATTTTTTCTAATCAGCCATGGCCCATATCTTTCAGCTTCTAAGACAAGATGTTGTTTATTATCCAATCTTCCTTGATGACACAAGTATCGAACAGTATTTTTGAAAGAAACAGTACAAATATTAGTATATCCTCATCAAAATATGAACATCGCAAAAAACCACAACACTGACTTGAACGTAAAACGGTAAGAGCTCCCAGTGTGGGTTCGGCGGCCCCATTAAGGGGGAAACAAGAATACTCCCACTGCCTCCCTAACATGCGTGTCGTAAAAGGGGGTTCATACGATACCCAGCCAGGTCAGTATTGTAGAAACTATACGATACCCAGCCTGGACAGTATTGTAGAAACTATACGATACCCAGCCTGGACAGTATTGTAGAAACTATACGATACCCAGCCTGGGCAGTATTGTAAACACTATACGATACCCAGCCTAGGCAATATTGTAGAAACTATACGATACACATGAAGGGCAGTATTGTAGAAACTATACGATACACAGGCTAGGCAGTACTGTAGAAACAATACGATACCCAGTCAGGGCAGTACTGTAGAAACCATACGATACCCAGTCAGTACGATACCGGTCTCGACCATCCTTGTTTATTCCAGAAGTTTGTTATGATTAAGAAATTGGACATACGGGTGCTTTTGATTTTACTATTAGATTTCGTTTTGTAATATTTGGGACAATTTAATAATGTACTAGTTAAAAATAAAGCTTGCCAATAAATAATTTAATTTTGTTGACAAACATATACTAAATAATTACCAAATTACGATAATTTAATATACTAGTTTAAAAAAGAAGCTTGTCAATAAATAGGTAAATAAATAATTAAATTTAATTGACAAACGAAAGGGTAATATAACCAACCAAACAATCAACAGCTAATCAACTAAATAATACAAGATCCAATAAAGAAGATCCTACTAGATCAATTCAACAGGTGACACCAAAGGTGTGAACAAATGTACACAAAAGCAGTTTAGCAAGATAAGCGAGGATCAAGATGGCTAGTTAATAACACGTCTTTTTAACAAAATAACGACAGATCGAACTAACAAAATAATACCGGTCAAGTTAAGAAAGTAAAAGCAATTTAACAAAATTACCCACATTGACAAGTTAACAGCTTAGTTAGCTCAGTTAACAAAATAACGACA